TATCTGGGACCTCTGAGAGCCAGTCACAGTGCCTGGCAAGCTGCAATAACCACATTTATTCATGAGAGTCTAAACAGCCCAAGGACCAGGAATTGGTTATGGTAAACAGTATGTAAATGGATGGCTACAAGGAGCAAAGCAGCAAGCTGCAGACAGATGTGAGGAGAATACAGCACAAAAAGGAAAAAAGTGATGACAGACTGGGAGGCACTAGAATGATTCTCCAATGATCCCTCTCTGAGCTGGTTACAGATAAACCAGCAGTTCTGTGCACAAACACTGGAGCGTTGTGCCCTGCAGGCGTGCCTGATTTTCATCATGCTAATCTCAGGGCAGAAGTACCAGAACAGCAGGATGCCAGAGATGCAAGGCAGGCCCAATAAACCAGCTGTGAGCTAGAAATGGGAATGAGGATTTCTGGATGTGAAGTGTTAATGCTTCTTCAGTAGAAAAGGGTATTTTTTTTTTCCCAGAGCACGCTATAAAATAAAAACTGTGGTTTTGCTTTTCCTCAAACTACTCCCTGTGAATCCGGGTGGAGTCTGTCAAGTCGGGTCAGGTATGAAAGTAAAACATGTCACTGCTAGATCTAATTTCTATTAGATCGGCAGCTCTGAGGCTTGCAAATTAATCCAGAATGTCAGGATGCACAAGTGCAAACCTTTTCGCCAAGATGATTGAATTCACATCCCTCACTGCCCCAGGCCCCCTTGCCACCAGGCATCCTTGTTCTTCCATTCTTGTTCTCCGTTATGATGAGTTTATAATATGTAATTATCTACCTTGGTACAGTGGTTCCAACCAGGAGGGATGGGGAAAACGTTTCTCAGAATATCCTATGGTGTACTGATTAACTTGTTCAGCTGTGAAGTGAGGGACTGTGGTATAGATCTGCTCTTCTGATTAATACAGAAAATAGGTGTGACACAGGCCTTCTACAACCTGGATAAATGCTGTTGTCTCTGAATGATTTAGTAAGATGAAAATTACAGTTTCTCTTCTCCTCTGATAGCTTAGAAAATTTAGACTAATTTTCACTGGGTTTTTTTTTCTCACATCAAAGTGGGTTTGTATTGAACTAAATTAGAACTCAGGTTTTTTCTATTTGAAGTGTTTAAAAAACCCCAGTAACCTTGGTACTGTCTAGGGACTGAACCTGAGAAGATGACCTTGTAGTTCATAACCTGATATGTTAAGATGGAGACTACAGGAGGCTCTTGATCAGTGATAATTGAAAGTGGGTTACAGAAAGCATTTGTTAAACTAGAAAGTTTAGGTACTTTGTAAGGGCAATTCCCTGTTCCTTGAATTAAGTGGAAATAACCTAACATAATGAGTCACTATTCTAGTCTGATAGGGGGAAAAAAAGTGCAGCTATACACAAAAAAAACCCTAGGCTCAGCTCTGCATTTGACACTGGAGAGTTTTCTTTCCAGAAAACTTTCAGTAATTTGGTGTACTTTTCAAAAGCCCTAAATACTCAGTTTAAAAACATTAGCTATGTAGCTTGTTCTGTAGATTTTATAGTGCAAAACTGCTAATGCCTTTGGTGGTCCACAACAGACAATATGAATAGTGTCAGAAAAACAGGTCTGTGTTCACATGCAATATAGAAAAAGCAATAGCAAACTGGCATTTGCTATATGTAATGTTTATCACTGAACACTTTACAGTTTGAGTAGTAAACACAGCTACTCTTGGTCTGCCCTACTTATTCACACTCCCAGGTATTGTGTGAAAATACAGTGCACATACACTTCAGCACTACTGGAATGATGCCTCTGGATAAGCGCATTGTTTTGGAGTAACACGACAAGGAGAAGTGTTACAGCTCTGACCCAGAGGCATGGGAATGGTGACAGTGTGCTCTGTGCTCGCCCCAGCCAGCTCAGCCCCTCAGGCTTCTCTTTGGGAATAACTAAGGTCTAGTCACCTGCAGCTCCCCAAGGAAGTGAGTAGGGAAGCTAAAGGTGTAAGTCGGGGAGCAGGAGAATCTCATTGCTTGCTACAGTAGTAAATTCTTTTGAGGAATTTACATGGGGGAAAAAAATCCCTATTAAAAAAATTTTTTAAATCAGGAAACTTCCTCTATCTCATGTACTAAATCTACATTACAGAGAAAAAAACAGGTGAATATGCACTGATATTGTTGATGGGAACAACAAGGTCCTTTAAGGAATACTTTTGTCTTCATTTTCTCATGTGCATGTGGGATCTGTGACAGTGGCAGGCTGGTAGTCACCAGTCTGGAAGCCTGAAACAAAGAGATACCATTTCCAGCAGAGTGGGTTAATTTCATTTTCACCTCATGCAAATTCTCTTGTCCCACTAGGAACCAAGTTAGCAGGGCGAGAAGGTACAGTCTCTCTCCTCAGAGTTTCCTGGGGAAAGACACTCCATCATCACTTGTTGGTGTCATGGCTTCAGACACCACTGTCAGAGTTTTGTCCATCACTGCCCAATTATACAGAAGGCAAAAAAAAATGTGCTTGTTGCAAGTTTGTGAATTTTGTGGAAACACAGCCAGTACAAAACAGACCAAACTCGGTTCACATATTAAACCAGAGAGCCATCAGATGATAATTGTCTTAACTCATAACCGCATAAACAAGACCCCATTTAATAACTCTGAGTTTGAAACCATTATATCTTACCTTACCCAGCCACTTCCCAGCTGTCTTCTCCCACTTAGCTGGAAGAACTTGCTAACCAGTGTCCTTTGATATTTTCCCCTCTCAACTCAGTAACAGACCACTTCATGTGTGAGATGTGAAATGTGAAGGCCACCAAACACATCACATTTTCACCAATGTCACTTAAAATGACATAGCAAATTATGGTCTAGAGATGTAACTTAAAACTCACAAAAATAGCTTGTTCAGTTCTTATCAATGGGGGATAGGCTTTCTAGATGCTTAAACCAGTGTAATCTCTTGTCACGTTAAAATCTGTCCCTTTATTGAGAAATAAGGCAGATAATATATCAATTTCGTCTGTTAATCAATAAATTTTTCTACATGAACAGGTAAAACTTATGTACACAAGGCCCTACTGTGTCAGACCAAAAGTCCATCTAGCCCTGAAAATCCTGCCAAGGGCTATATTTTTCTCAAGCATAGTATTGTGAATGAGCTTCAATGTAGTATCAGCTGTGGGATCTCATATTCAATGTACAGTCATGGAAGAAATCCTAATTCGACTTTTGAATTTGCTTACAGTCTACTCCCAAAATTTAAACAAAAAAAATTGCTATTCAGAAAAAAAAACATCACAAAGCTAGTTATTTGACAGATACAAAACAATAACAAAAATAATAAGCAACTGCAGAAATGAAGGCATTTTCCACTTCAGGAAAGAGATTGTTTATTGATACTTGACTAAAAAGAACTGATGAAATAATTGAAATTTTTAGTTTGGACTAATAATTAGTCCAAAAATTTAGTTTTAGGGGTTTTTTAGGAGTGATGCCCAGGCTAATGAGGAAAATCAGAAAGACCATCCGTAGGACATGCCAGTGAGGGCTGGCCTCCTTGTCCTGCTCTGCCCTGTACTGGAAGAGCAAAGCTGAGGAGTAGCACTTGCACAGCCAGGCTCATCTAAATGAGAAGCTCGCATGTACTGTTCAGGTATCGGGCCAGCGTCTGCCATTTCCCAGCTGAGAAACATTCACCTGAGTCTTAAGCTATTTGCAGGAATGAGAACTGCAGAGACGTATAGAAACATGAGGGGTCAGGTCTAGGAGAAACACACTAAAAATATTTGTCTATTGCATTGGTGCCCTGGAAAATCTTATGTTTTACCCCACACTTAGATGGTTATTCAAATTCAAACTACCCCATCTGGCAAGAGTTTGTAGGTTAATCACAAATGAGAGCAGCACATCAGTAAATGTCAAGATTAGTGAGAAAGGAAAATGAAATTGAGAGTGTCACCTGATTTGGAATGAGCCAAAATAGGAACGGAGTCGCTCAGCTGCTGCCTCACATCCATGAAGCAGAACAGCCCTAGCGAGAAACGAACAGAGCACCGCAAATCCCCACGACAGGCAGAAGGATTTTCCTGCACATGAAACCACTTAGAGCTGCAGCTGTGCTGACAACTTGTGCCCCAAATCCAGTAAATGCTAACCTTCTCCTCTTCCTCACATGTCTGAAGGAGAAATACACCCGCATGGGTGGCTGAGAGCAGCGTCCTGGGCTGCTACAGAAATTGAAGCAGAAACCTGGCACCCTGAACAGTGCTAAAGAAATTCCCCTGTGCCAGAGGAGCAAGGGCTGCCTGATCTTGGACAGGGGCTTACTGTTTCTGCTCCTCTGCCTCTCCAGATGTGCTTCTGTCAGGTCTGTTTATGTGCCAGCTCTGCGTGTGCACTGCGATGCCACGTGGGAGCTCTCCCTGCTGATGCCGGCCGAGCTGCTGGCTTGCTGCAGGTGTTTCTCACATGAGCAGATGGGGAACGGTGAGAGCAAGGAGGATCGATTCTCGCTCTGCATCTCATTTTGCTCACAGCAAGGTTCATACTGTTTCTGTGTTACACCCAGTCAGGTGCATGGAATTCTCATTTCTAGCTCTACCAGTATCAGTCCTGGGGAGTAGCATCCGCGCTGGCAATAAAGAAACATGAAAAAAGAGCCATTGAGATTGCTTAGCAGAAACAAAGAGAATTTATCTTCTAAAAGGAAGGGACTCGCTCTTCCTCCACCATATATTTCAGCTCTGGCCCCTAAATAAATTTCATAATGATTTCTTATAAGCTACATATGTACTGAGGTTGTTGCTGACTTCTTTGCTGGATTATCGGAGGTGTTAGTGTCATGCTGCATAAATAGGTCAGTCAGTACGTTTGTATTCAGCAGGTCATAAATCTGCACATGGTTTTGTAATTTTCCCCCTAAATTCTCTAAAAGTACAGTTGGAAGGACAACGCCATATTAAACAGTTAATACAGTAAGGTAGGGACATGAACACAATCGGTTTTGTGTTCTTAGACGTACTTGCTCACTCCAACTGCTGTGCTGCTTCCTTACCCTCTGACTCCCTTGTCAGGGTATGCAAGGGGTTTTCATTTTTGACTTCTGTATTATTAGTAAAATTGTTAAATAATTTCAATTCATATGTCCAAAGTACACCAATACAGCCAAAAATCCCAATCTTGTTTAGAATTTGGCCGTACAGTTCTAAATGTTGCTGGCAAGAATATATAGAAAATATTAAGAGTCTCCTTTTCATTTTTCAGACAAACATCTACCAGTTCTTCTGACTTTTTTTGCAATTGTTCTTTCATCTCATTAGCACAGGAAACATCTTCCTGTATGTGGTGACTCCTGTGCTATACCTCTCAAAACTAACCTGTTGGATGTAATCTCCCAAATCAAAATTTGATTTATGGAAATGCTGTTAACATTGTATCTGAAAGAAACAGCTGGGCTCATCTCTTAAATTATGACCCACAAGGGATGGGCATCACATCAGTCTGTAAACTGAGTAACTCTGGAAATCTCCTAGAAGTGATAAGTATGAAACCCTACTGTACAGAGCTAAATAAAGGTATACTCTGGAACAGAGTTTGAAAGAGTTATTCTGTAAACCAGAAAATAACAAATCCCTGCAGATCTGAATAGGATGGTGAAATAATTCTGTATTTGGGGCTGCTATGGATTCTGTGTATTAAAAGCTTATTTTCCCAATCAGAGAACTAGGTATGATTCAAAATAAACATGGAAGAAGATCCCTTAAGTAATGTATATCTTCTTAGTTGTCACTTTTCCAGCTATATGATAAATTAGAACTCCTAATACCTGGGAAAAGAGCATATGTTATACCTGTTCAGAGGGAGACTTCGTATCTTTAAGAAGTGTAATATTCTCTGAGGCAGGGAGGGGAGGTGGAGGAGAGGACAATCCAGAGAAATCCTGATCACTGCAGGGCTCAGGAGAAAAAGTATCCAAAGACCAGCAATATCCAGGGATCAAGTGATGTAGAACACAGAAAAAAATTTTCGTAAGAGCTCACTGTGTCTATAGGGGAAAATTCAAATAATATGTAGAATAAGATTATACAAGTCAGATCAACTAAGTAATGATTAGTTTTTGGTCTGCTTTTAGGTCAAAACTTCCTAGTTTATGTGATATCACAATTCATTTCTGAGACGCTAGAATTTGGTTATGGCTCATCTATGTAAATTCCAGGGAATTTACAACTCCCAAACAATCAATTGTTGCAGATAAGAATAAAAAATTATTTCAGAGATTGTATGCCACAACAAGAGCTTGCACAGCTTTCTGTGGTATTGAGCAAATAGTCTTAATAACTAATAGAGAGCTCCTGTTTTAATTGTTTTAATTAACTGGTTTATGCAGTTCAGTACTAATACTCATACGTGTTTAGAGAAAGTAGCCAGGCCTGTGGCCCTGTAAAATTAAGCACAAATGACTTCATCAAAGGCAAAGATAACCATATGCTCAATATTTTCCTAGATTATGTCCAAGGCTGACAATCATGAATCGCTGAACAAAACACTTTATTTTGGACAAGGTGTTTTAAATTGTATCCCAGTGACATAGAACTGTTGAGACTTTTTTGACTATTTCTAAAAAGAAAAGATGCCTTACTGTAACAGCTTACGTGTTACATTAGAGAAAAACATAATTTAAGGCTTAACAAGAGTCAAGAATCAGTGAATTTAATATAAGTAGAAAGTGAGTTAAAGCTAGACATAGGGAAGAAAGCGTTCCAGGAAGGACACTTTCTGTCTTTCAGAGAAGGAAGTATTAATACTGTCAGGTGATACAGTGAACCTGATGGATGAGCAATCTAATCCAACATTGCAAATCATGAGTTCCCTTCAAAATTATATTGTAGGGGAGACATTCATCCTAATTGGTTCATCTTGTATTTCAGAGCACAAAGAATAAAATAGTAATTCTTCCTTTTGTGTAGACCCACTCTGATATCTTACATTTGAACAAATGCTCGAAACCAACTTGCAGATCCCTGTGAGCATTACTTTAATTGATAATGACAATAGATCTTAGATTGTGTAACTGCACTGAGTTATAATACAACAGATGACTTAACAACTCATTGATACGGAGGAATAAGTTCATTTACCACTTACTGCAGGAAAGGTAGCGTCTCTCCAGTTACCGCATTTCTCACTGCAGTCTCCTTAAAATCCGTTTGAGTTGTGCACTTAAAATGAACAATACAATAAATGTAAGTATTAAATATCTAACTGAAGAGTTAGAGACACTTCATATTTAATGTTTTATGATCTATTTGTACTACGTTATCAGGGTATGCCTATGGTATTTTGAGTGATGTAAGCTTGCTGTGCCACCTCTGCTTCTGTTGGATCAGAGCCATGGTAGGGTGGCCCTGGGAGAGCTAACTCCTTTTATGTGGCCTTAGGAGAGCTAATTCCTGTTATGTAGTTCCATGGCTTTTGTCTAGCTCAGATAAAGCTCAAATCTGCCTGAAACGCACCATGGTGACATACCCTTCACCATCCTTTTCATGCTGTTGGCCTAACACTTGTGCGACAGTCACTGCACCTTATTAAAAGAACTTGCTAAAAACCTGAAACCACATCCTTCCAACAGGAGGAATAATGAGGAAAATAACAATGTGGAAACCCAAACACCTTCAAAGCAGTGTTATGCAGTCACATGTAATACACCTGACCAATGTTCCTTATAAATAGTAAATACGGTCTCAGCAAACCGATAACTGCGTTCATGAAAAAGCTGCTTTCCTGGCTATATGCAATCTGCCTCTTATTTTCTTACCTTAAGTTTAAAGTAGCTTTTTGTCTTCTGTGACAGAGCTACCACCGTTTGCATGTTCATTTTTGCGGCACAAGGCACTCTCACTTGTAGTAGCCCTCTTCAAGTTCTGGGTATGACCGACAGCAAAAACCTCAGCATTAGTTTCTCATCAGCCAAAACCAATCTCATTCCAAAACGGCCTTTAAATTTGCTGGCTTATTCCCTGAAACAATCTGGCTGGCTGGCAGTGCAGGTATTTTAAGCGTAAGGGCTTCCTGTGGTTTAAGATTTGACAGACTCCAGTTGGTGCCCCTAGTTATTTGACAGTGATGTGGCAACACTAAGTGGTTGCTGATGAACAGGTTTGCAGTGATCATGCCTCTGTTTTCTGTTTTTGTTTTTTGTTTTTATCTTTTCCTCAGGGGAAATCGCTCACATCAAAGAGGTTAACCAGTCTAGTGCAGTCCTACTAAAAGGATCACCTTGTAGCATGGAAGCAGACTCAAATCATTATACATACTTTGTAGCTCACTGATTGCCTGACTCAGAGGACAGTAGAACAAGATGTTGCATGAGCAAGGACCTCACTTGTTTTCTTTTGTGTATACTAAGGCATTACAGACTCCGAGGGACTCTCTAGCCTTTCGATGCCTCCATTTCGAAAACTGTCTGCTCACTTCCTCCTTCATATCAAGCTGGATCTGTGTCTTTTTATTTTCTGCAAGCTCAAGTACAGTGAAAAAAAAGCTTCTGCTAGGCACAGTTTATTAAAAAAATACGTCAATCAAAAACTGGAAGAAATGTAAAAAATGCATATATTAATAAATATACATATGGCATCACATTTATTGCACAATAAATTAGCACAGAAGGTTTCATTTCACTGATGTATTCACATTGAGAAAGAAAGCCTGTGTCTTTGTCTGTTGTCTGTATATTCTCTGTTAATGTTTCTTGCATTTATTTTTATACCATATTTAAAAAAGAACACCTTTTACTCCAGATGTATTAAAGTTGATCCTTTCTCTGTAAATTTGTGTATGTTTATATTGTTGTTTTATCTTTCATTAAAAGATGCAGAATCTCTTTCCTTTGGGAAGTTTGAGATTTTAATATTGAATCTGAAGATTAATCAAGACCAAAATCATCCCCAAAAGTTACACACCTTGTGCTTTCTAAAAGGTGACATGAAACGGCATTTTCTTTCTCTCAGTGACACCTAATCAAACACACTTTATTGATAATCATTTATTTTTTATTTTCTTTTTATCAAGCTAGCAGCAGAGAGACCTTTTCAGCTTGCTCATCATCACATAAGCAAACCTTTCCTTCAGCTAGACCCATCCTGTAACAGTGCAGCCTGTGCAGTGATTCGGTCGCTACCCAAGACCACATCGACTGAAGGGGATTTCCTTAGGAACGGGCATGTACAAAGCTGGCTGAGAACACAGGTGCATACTTGCTAAATAGGAAAGACAGTGCTTCCTTCTCCTTGCTGTCACTTGTGATGCAATGCAGCATTTTGGGCTGAAAAGGTTGTGGTTTGGGAGTTCTGAGTATGCTGTCTGTAGAGTAAACCTTGGGTAGTAAGCAGGAGGCTGTTATTTTAGTTCCAGGGCCCTGCTCAGGTGTGCTGCTCTATGTCTGCTGCTGAGGTTACTCACACAGAGACCTACTGACAGGTTTAGGAGAGTGTGTAGACGTTGCCCATGAGACAGCAGATACGGAGCTTCTGAAGCTAAACCGAGCTGGAACCAGAAATCTCTGCTTGGCCTAAGAAACAGCCCTTCTGACTAAGAGAGGTGACGTAAGGATAGTAGGCAGCATCTCTGAGTAGAAAAGCGATGATGGGAACTAAGTCAAACAACAAAATGCTGATACCTCCAGGGCATCGCAGGGTGCACAGGACAAACAAGCCTTTTTAACAATGCACAGGATAGACTCAGGACAGCCAAGTCTCATACCATCTGTCATACTGACTTTGGTCTGATATTGAGAAACAGGAGACTGGTTTCAAAGGGCTACCAAAGCTAAAACCACACCCCCCCTCACACACACACACCCCCGAAGTGGGACAGTCAGAGACACGATCAGATTTGAATACATTAATGCTAGAGTCGTCTCATTGAACATCAGATACCCGCCAGGGCCAGGGCTCCTGCCCGGAGAGCTGCCTGCCGCAGGAGCACTCGCCTCTCCGCTGCCTCTGCCAGGAGCCCGCTGCAGCCAGAGCCCTGACCACAGCATCTCTGAAGAGGCAGTCTGGAGGATCCCAGGACAAAATGCATTATAAATCACCATGAATGGTGCTTCCCCAGCATTTCCTCAGTTGGGGTTTCTGGAGGCTTGTTCTTTGTTTTCACATGCCACTGTGTTTCCAGTTTCTAGCTAGAGTGATAATCACCGCTTTAAAGTGTCTCAGTTTTTATTAGCACAATTCTACTAAGCTTTTATCAGAAAACACTGGAAGTGCTCCATGGGAGCTTGATTTTATGAAGAGCTCCATCTAGGTCAACTCAAAATATTCAGAGTCTAGGGAGGCCAGATGAATTTTAATAAATAGCCACATTTGACCCCAGATCTTAAACTCTGAGATTTAATTTTCCTTTACCACAGAAATGCAAGCTTTGAGACATGAACTTAGGGCCAGGCAATCCACAGAAATTTGAGCTCTGTTTCACTTGTTAGTGCCAAATAGAGATATTTCTTTCCAAACTCCTGCTGCCACCAATTGCATCAGCTGGTGTATTGCCTGCTTTGCCTTAGGAGTTAACTAATTAGATACCAGTGTCTGCTTTGAAGAATCATTCCCTTAAAATAGGTAATGTTTCAAATTCATGCATTAGGTATTTTATGCAACTTCATTCTAAGAAATATTTTTTTTTTCACTAATTACTTTGCAACACCCACTGGCTGATAAAAAGACATGGAACATTTGTATTCCTGAAACCATTTTGTATTTATTCTAGTTCTTTTCTTCCCGTAAATATGAAGTCTCTTTTGCATGGCTGTCTTTCCCTGTATTTGCACAGGATTTAACACAGTGTCTGTAAAGTAAAAATATGCATTACTAGTAAGGATTTCAATGTAGTCAGGGGGCTGTATTAAGGTTTCATTTGAGCTTAGTTTCAAGTGATGCAGCTCTACTGTTACAAATGAGTGAATTTGGCCCAAGCAAAATCTATCCTACAACCAGCTGATTTTTAAAGTGTTTGTCTGCAATCTTTTGATGCTTCACCTGATCACTGTCATCTGCCAGCGATACAACACTGGGAATGGAAACTCCAAGTAGGCACAAGCTTCCTTTTACTTCCCCACAGAGCAAAGCTAAATGTTTGTTTCCAAATTTATATGAAGATCCACTTCCAAGCATCAATCCTAACTCAGATTAAGGCATGTTTGTACAACCACCAAACGCCTGGATTATGACTTTGGTTACACAAACTCATTAGGAATTTCAGTGAGGCCACAAGTCTGCTGAGGAAAAAAGGACCAAGAGAGAAACCCAATCTGAAGGGGCCACATCTCTAGTCTCCTGGGGAAGAGCCATCAATCAGCGTCTCCTGGCTCTGCCTAGGAAGCAGAAAACACTCTCCAATGGGGTACATTAATTGTAATATTCATTAAAATAACCACTTGGAGCTGGGAACTTCCATCTGAGAGTCAGCGTTCATCAGTCTCTTTCCTCATGCATCGTTGTGCATATAACAGCTCTTAAGCCGACAAGAGAAAGAAGTGTTTGCTGGCGCTGCTGCACACTTGAGACAGTTTTGTGCTCCCAGACCAGTCTGGGAAGGGAAACAGCCAGTGGGAGAGATGGGAGCTTCTCTGGCATTGACCCAAGGACATAAAAATATTCACCCTTTCTTCTGTGAGGTACAATTAAAAACTCCTTCAAGCCTACAAAACTGAGGAGAAAGGCCTTAAACAGCAAGAAGAGAAACTGCAAAATGCTGAGCTGAAACAGTAGTGGAGACTGGCCAAAAATTAATGAGCTGAAGGTGAATACAGGAGTAAGAAATGGGAATTAATTGTGGTGACCAGAACAGAACAGACAAGGGCGGAGAACTGGGGAACTGGGTAAGAGCAAGAGGCTGAATGCAGTCGATGGATTGCCAGCCTGTTGGCCACGGCTGTGCAGAGTTGGAATCAAAACCCAAAAAATCAGACAAGATCAACTGTGACTGGCCCTTTAAAACCCAACAACGACATTTTTTCAGCTGTAAAGCAATTAATACCAAATATCTAGAATTGACTTTTTTTTTTTTTCCAAACTGCACCCCTAGTATTGCTTGAAATCAGAAGACATAGACACCAAACAGTCCCCCAAGAAATAACAAATAGGAGGGAACTTATAGGAATGCATTTCGTGTATTTATTTATTGTAAAAAAAAAAAAAAAGCCACAGCAGACACCTAAAGTGAGGGAAGCCTGTTTTCTTTAAGTAACTGGAATGAGGAGTTGGGAATGACCAGTGATTTATTTGTAGCTCTTCCAATTATTTGTCTTTATGCCAAGTGATTAACAGCTGTTTGGATTTAGATGTTTAAATTACCATATTTATAATGTCCCTTCTAGCTAGAGATGTTGTGCATAGAACTAACACTGGACTTTTTCACTTAGGTGCATGAAACACAAGAATTTTCCTAAAGAAAGTTAATAGCTACCGAGACCTATATAAAATAAGGTTTTAATCCCAAGATGTTCAGGGAAATTAGCAGCGATTTCTTTGAACATATTCTGTGTCCACTGTTCATTTAAGTAAGTTTCTAAGTGGTTGTGAATCATACCAATCTGCCTTTTGATCTGACTGTTCTGAGCAGATTAACGCTTTTGTGTGCTGTGGATTGAAGATAGGCTGAAGTCCCAGTATCAAAGAGGCAGGGGGCAAGAGAGGATGGTCTCTCTGAGGCCAGGCTCTCCCTCCTGCTGTAGACTGTAGACTCCTCAAGTGGCATGCGCACAAATAAACGGGTTTTGTTTGTACAGACATTGGCTTGAGGGCTGCAGTCTCTCCAGACAGTCATTATCTCTGCCACTACGAAGCTACTAAGCAGCTAAATCTTTGTTTCAATTTATCCCTTTATTTTTGACCAGGCTGCTTCAATCACTGCAATAAATAAATGTTCCCTACCTTTTTGCTCAAATACGTAAATGGCTATTGGAACTTTACAGCCTCCTTCCATTTTCTTACTGGTGTTTGAGTTGAGTGACTTCATTGCTCTCCTCCGGGTTGGAGGGTGTTCCAGCCTTCTTGGAGGACACTGCCCAGAGCAGGCTGCAGGGCTCCTGCCCAGGTTTCACAGGAGGAGGGCAGAGGATTACTGTTGTACTTCTGTCTGTACACATGACTATGGGGCTTGCCCTTTTTGCAGTGGATAGCCACTACTGAATTGTGGCTTATGGGGCACAGTCATGTGCATATCTTTTGCAGTAAAACGTTGATGGTTGTTCCCCGTTGTGTGCAACTGACTCTTCTTGGGTCAGTGAGGTGTCCTCAGTTGTCCATTGAGTAGCATCCTTGTTTTTCACACCATCTTTCTCTTTTCCCAAGGTCACTTTTTTGATTCTAACCCATGAAGTAATTGCAGTCGTTTTGCCCACGGGTATCTTTATGTGTGGGTGAGAGTGAGGCATCTGCTGGCCTGATTCTTGAACACAAACGCATGAATGAGAGCGAGTTACCATCATCACTATTTGCCACAAGGAATCTGGATGTGTAAATTGTGAAGAGAAATTGCCGTGACAATAAACTCTGACAACCTGCTCAAATACTAGATGATAGTCCTTATTTACAAGTGTGGACATGGACAGTAAATATCAAACAATATTAAGACACGATTGTAAATGTTACCTTGTTAGTGGCATTTGCACAATTTTTATTGTACTTTTTCTTTGCTCCCAAAATATATTCTGCTCCATTCACCTGCATTGGCTCTACTTCTTGTTTGACGAGATTTTGAAATCTCTCATTAGATTCATCACAGATGTCAGCTTTCAAAAGAGATACTATTTACCACCCCTCCTCTTAACCTTGCGGCTGCTTCTTCTGCATGTGTATCACATAAATGAGGCATTTCATTATT